CTCAAAGATGGAGTTCCTCCACAAAGAACAATGTCACAAAGTTTTGTTCTTGTATGTCTTTTTGCTTTAAATTAGATCATTGTGCTTATGAGTTTTATATAATGTTTATATAATGTTCAGTTGTCATTACTGATCATCAAACAGTAAAATAAAATGAAAAACTTCACTCTCTGCTCTTGTATGAATGACTTTAGTAGCTTTAATGTGCATTAAAGGTTATTTACATTTGGTTCATTTATTCTGTTTCTTTTGTAGGCTATTATTTACCTGAATACTGTTAGACCTTAATTGGCCTGTTTTTTTGTTGTTGTTTTTTTACTAATAGTAATTTTTTCAAACATGCTGTTTATTTGCTAAAGACTTTTATATTTCAGAAATTAAAATCACTGAGTTTTTTAGTAAAAAAAAAAACAAAGTACCAGATAAATAAGCGGTATTGTAAGAGTAGTAACACCATTAAATAGTACCCATCCCTACTTGTAAGTCAGTAGGAGAGTGATCCATGACTCGAGAACGTCCACTATGGTTTCGGACACCACTAAAAATGGCTGTTCCCTCAAATAGTGACCTATTTAAGGGTATAGGGGGCGATTTCGGACACAGCCTCAGTCTTCTGAGATGAGGCAAGCAGTTCGCGGTATTTCACATATTTACACAAGCATCAAACACATTTTACACAGTTACTTCTAGAGATTGCAATGATAAAAGACATGGTGAAAAATGACTGAATAAATAATACTGGAAGTAGGTTAAGATGAATTGTAAAAGTGTGCCCCCTAAAAGCACAAGTGGCCCCTGCCTGGTCCCCCAATTACTGTGGTCTAGAACCGCCACTGATTATGAAAAAGATTCACTGAATTTGGAGTAACACAATCTGAGTTACAAACAAAATGGTAAAGAACTTTGACATAACTGGCAAAAGCTGTACTTTTTCCTGTTTAATTTAATTCACTTTAGCGTTTCATAATATAATTTGCATATAAACACCTATTCAGTTTTGGGTTTTACACTAGAAGTCAAGATCTGATCAGACACGATAAAGTTTTACTAAAATGCAGAATTAAAAATATCGGTGGTAATTGTGTATTCTCTACTAAAAGCGGGTAAAAATTACCAGAAAACAATGGAATGATTAATAAAAGGTATCGTGTAGTGTTAAAATATGAACGATTGTGTCATGTGACTGACGGACGGAACCATGGTGAAGTGTCGCCGTTCGCAGGGGGAGAGATTTAACTGTCGCAATGAAGTACGCGGAGGAGAGTTTCGAGGGCGTCTTTACAATGAAGAACTCCTCAAAACAGACAGATAAACTTTTTAAATAATTAGTGTGTATAATTAAGCGGTTGTAGCAATGAAAGTCTAACAGCACTGAATGTTTTAGCGATCTGGTTAAAGTGTAATGCCACCTGCTACATGTAGACTTTAATAGACTTTGCTTTAAGACAGTGACATTAGTATGTGAATTTAAAATGCATAATGTGCCCATATAACCTACAAACTGTGACTTAGTTTATCATTATAATTATTACGCAAACGAGGGTATGAAGTTGAATGTTCAGTGTGTTTTATAATGACAATGGAGCAGATTTGTATTCGCCTGGTCAAACTTGATATGCTGTCCACCATAAGAGCATTAAACCGCTTCCCTTCAGTGATCAGATGCTGTGGACAGAGACAGGCTCACCGCCGTGCATCCCTCTGTGCCTCTGCTCGGACTGATCTCATGAGGACAAACTCATCTTCCTCTCTGAAATCAAGAGGATCTGTCACTGCTGCTTCTTCATCTCTCTGTCTGAGATCAAGATCAGGACTTAACACCTGCATAACTGCATTCAGACCTCCAGCTGATCAGGTGCCGTTGATCATTCAGCCCATGCGTGAGTTTCACACCTCGGGCAGACTGAGAGCTTTACCTGCACCCTTGATATGGATGGTGCTGAAGCCTCTACAGAAGCTTATAGCCATCATACTGGGCAGGTGAGGTTTTCAAATTTTTTTTTCAGTCATCAGCCTGTGTCAAGAACAAATAAAACTGGTGAATAAGTGGAATGCCACAGTGAATGCACAATTTAATCAAAGTGCTCAAGAGAGTGGTTTGAGTCTTACCTCTCAGATAGGTCCTTCAATGTATCTTGGAGAGGTGAGGTGTCCAAGTCGCAACATCTAGCTACTGGGGTGCCTCAGGGCTCAGTACTTGGACCACTTCTCTTCTCTGTCTACATGGCATCACTAGGTTCTGTCATTCAGAAACATGGCTTTTCATATCACTGCTATGCTGATGACACTCAACTCTACCTCTCATTCCATCCTGATGATCCGACGATAGCTGCTCGCATCTCAGCATGTCTAACAGACATTTCTTGTTGGATGACAGACCATCACCTTCAACTCAACCTGGCCAAGACAAAACTACTTGTGGTTTTGTGTGAGTGAGTGAGTGAGTGAGTGAGTGAGTGAGTGAGTGTGTGTGAAGGTGTATATATATATATTTATATACACCTTGCTACGTGTACTGCGTTAGGCTAACCGAGACTTGTCATTTGCACTTATATATTGTTGCTCTTTTGTTAGTTTTGACTGCTTTTACTGTCCTCATTTGTAAGTTGCTTTGGATAAAAGCGTCTGCTAAATGACTAAATGTAAATGTAAATATTAAGAGTGTGCAGCTCTATTTTGGGCAGCCGGTGTTTATACAAAATGGTGAATAGGATGGCCAATATTTTAAATCTATACAACTTTTTAACATAAAATTAATCAGATAACTACATCTAAATAGGCCTATATTCTTTGTAGATACATATTTAGTCAGAATGTTATTATTTATGTTATGGCCAGTGATGGATATAGTGGCCAATATTTTAAATCAATACCCTTTTTTTCCCCTACCCCTAATTATTAGCTGATTTCTTAAAAAAAAAAAAAAATGGGAACAATAGTGAACGTGTACATTTGAGGCATTTATAGTCCAGAACAGTTTACAAAAATGTTTTATCTTCACATAACCTGCAGGAAGTCCACCAAATGTTCTGCAGGTTATGTGAAAAGCAGAAATCTACCAAAATCCTTGGCTTATACTGTCTCCATGTACTTGGTTAGTTAATGGGGTGCATATGGCAGGTCATGGCACCAAAGTTCTTGGTTTTCTTTGAAGGGGAGTTAAGGTTTAATGATAAAATTCAGATTTTATGTGTATCTCTCTCTTTGTCTCTAGGAGCATCAGAAAATGGTGGTTGGCCCTGCCGCCCAATAAAAAGCAGCTGTTTCGTGAATGGACGTGGCGTCGACGTTGGCACTTTGTGGGAGCAGGGGCAGGACTGCTGTTCTTCGTCTCCCTCTTTTTACTCACTCACCTGGATGAATCTCCAGTTACAGGCAGGACCCGACTGCTGGTGTTCAGCAGGGAGAACTTCATGGAACTGGCTCAGGTCACTGCGGAAGCGGTACGACCTCAGTCGTGCAGTTGGTCATGTCCACACAACTTGTTTAGTCGGTTTACAGTTATTTTTTTGGTTGCAACCAGTTGCAAATAGTTGTATGCCAGTGCCTGGAGCTGGTCCAAAATGATTAGTCTGAATTAAATTTTCCTGTGCTATGGGATATTATGAAAATTAAATGTGGCGTTTCATTTAATTTCAAATCATTTAATAATTTAATTTCATTTAATATCATGGACTGTTGCTCCTCTTTCTCCTTCATTCTCTCTCTCAGTATATGGAGGAGTTTAAGGATTCTCTGATCGCTCCATCGGATCCCAGGCATCAGGTGGTGGAGCAAGCGGTTCGGATTCTGGCCGAGAGAAACCAGGACATTGCTGAGATTTCCTCTGTCCCCTGGACGGTCCATGTGGTGGACGGCCCCACAATCAATGCGTTTGTTTTGCCTGTGAGTCTTTCTCTAATAATAATCCAAATCTATTGATTTTTTTAGTTATTTAAATTTTTTGTTTTGCCAATTTTGAGAAGCAACTCTAACTGCAAAGAAATCGTCAGTCTTAGAGTTTGCGTGTATTTAGAAGACTTGCTTCTTCATTATCCAACATATTGTATGTTGAGCATTATATACATACACAAAAAAAGAGAAAAATACACAATATGAAGTACTTGTACAGCATTTTGAGGAAAAGTAACACTATATTTACTCAATATACTACTGTTCAAATGTTTAGGGTCAGTAAGTTTTTTTTTTCAAAGAAATACATATTTATTTAGCAATGAAGAAATAAATTTAATTGAAATTAAACTGATGTGACTGTAAATACTTTTCTTATGTTACAAAAAAATTATTCTTTAAAAATCACAATTTCCATAAAAATATTAAGCAATACAACTATTTATGACATTGATAATAAGAAGAAATACCAGCATATTATTATGATTTCTGAAAGATCGTGTGACACTAAAGACTGTAGTAATGGCTGCTGAAAATTCAGCTTTGCCAACACAGAAATAAATTACATTTTAAAATATATTAATATAGAAAATAGCTATTTCTATTTACTAGTAATTACTAATTGTAATAATATTTTACAATATTACTGTTTTTCCTCTCTCTGATCAAATAAATTCAGCCTTTGTGAGCATAATACTTGAACAGTAGTATGTATATGTCCTTATTTCACTGTAGTATGTATATGTATTATGTATATGTCCTTATTTCATCAAAGTCTTTGTAAAAGACGGGAGGTTTCTTCATTACGGCGACACACCACCAAAGTGCAAAAGGGAGGGATTTTTTTCTATGACATTCAGCCACAGCTGTCACTGTTCTAGACTGTTTGATCTGTCTCTGGATATATAGTGCAATCAGCATCAGTCACGTTCTGTGGCGGGAGGGCGAGCACCAATGTGCTTTCGTCATCATGCGTAACCTTAACTTCTGCAGCGATTGTTGGGAACAAACATCCCTCTCTTAATAAGAAATATGAAGTCAGGACTAGTCTGTATGGGCTGAATAAAGCAAACCAGTATCTCACCAGTAAAGTTTAGATGGATGACGATTGTAATGGAGGTAAAGACGATTACAGTGACATACAGCAATCGTACACAATTAGACACACGACCCATCCTTGCTGAATAAAAGGTTTAATTTATAAAAAAAAAAAAAGAAAGAATACAAATTTACTGACCCCAAACTTTTGAACTGTAAAGTATATTGTTAGAAAAGATTTATATTTTAAATAAATGCTCTTCTTTTTAACTTTTTATTCATCAAAGATTCCTGAAAAAAGTATCACAGGTTCCAAACAATATTAAGCTGCACAACAGTTTCCAGCACTTTCTGAAGGATCATGTGAGACTGAAGACTGGAGTAATGATGCTGAAAATTCAGCTTTGCATATATATATCTGTCATCATTTACTCACCCTCATGTCGTTTCAAACCTGTATGACTTACTTTCTTTTGTGGAACATAAAAGAAGATATTTTGAAGACTCTTGGGAACCAAGCTGTTTTGGTTACCAGTGACTTTCTTTGTATGAACAAAAAATACTGAGATGTTTTTCAAATGATCATCTTTTATGTTCCATAGTTTATGTTAGGCCGTTTTAGCCTAAACGTTTAAGTGTAATACATTTTATGTTGAATCAAATAAAATATTTATTTCTAAACTATATTTACTCAATATACTACTGTTCAAATGTTTAGGGTCAGTAAGTTTTTTTTTTCAAAGAAATACATATTTATTTAGCAATGAAGAAATAAATTTAATTGAAATTAAACTGATGTGACTGTAAATACTTTTCTTATGTTACAAAAAAATTATTCTTTAAAAATCACAATTTCCATAAAAATATTAAGCAATACAACTATTTATGACATTGATAATAAGAAGAAATACCAGCATATTATTATGATTTCTGAAAGATCGTGTGACACTAAAGACTGTAGTAATGGCTGCTGAAAATTCAGCTTTGCCAACACAGAAATAAATTACATTTTAAAATATATTAATATAGAAAATAGCTATTTCTATTTACTAGTAATTACTAATTGTAATAATATTTTACAATATTACTGTTTTTCCTCTCTCTGATCAAATAAATTCAGCCTTTGTGAGCATAATACTTGAACAGTAGTATGTATATGTCCTTATTTCACTGTAGTATGTATATGTATTATGTATATGTCCTTATTTCATCAAAGTCTTTGTAAAAGACGGGAGGTTTCTTCATTACGGCGACACACCACCAAAGTGCAAAAGGGAGGGATTTTTTTCTATGACATTCAGCCACAGCTGTCACTGTTCTAGACTGTTTGATCTGTCTCTGGATATATAGTGCAATCAGCATCAGTCACGTTCTGTGGCGGGAGGGCGAGCACCAATGTGCTTTCGTCATCATGCGTAACCTTAACTTCTGCAGCGATTGTTGGGAACAAACATCCCTCTCTTAATAAGAAATATGAAGTCAGGACTAGTCTGTATGGGCTGAATAAAGCAAACCAGTATCTCACCAGTAAAGTTTAGATGGATGACGATTGTAATGGAGGTAAAGACGATTACAGTGACATACAGCAATCGTACACAATTAGACACACGAGTCCATAATTAATGTGCAAACAAACAGGCCGTGTATGTGCATATATATATATATATATGGTTACCAGTGACTTTCTTTGTATGAACAAAAAATACTGAGATGTTTTTCAAATGATCATCTTTTATGTTCCATAGTTTATGTTAGGCCGTTTTAGCCTAAACGTTTAAGTGTAATACATTTTATGTTGAATCAAATAAAATATTTATTTCTAAAGCTACTTTTTGTAATGTCTACTTGATACTTTTCTCATTTAACACAATAATGGCTTAAAATTATTTTTTGTGGGTATTTTTTCACAGCCAAATTTAATTTACAATTAATTAGAACAATTACTCGCTACATCATGTTATTGATTAGATTAAAAAAAATTAATTGACTGACAGTCCTAATAAAAATATATAGATACTCTGTAATCGAACCCTCATTCTTGAATTTCCTGTTTGTGAAATTACCCAGACAGTTTTGCACAATGTTTTTATTAGCTACGTGTACAAACATTTCTTCATACAGTTTAGTACTCTCGTAAAGAGAGAGAAGTGTTCTTAATTCACTGCAGATGATTAAAGAAAATCTTGAGACTGATTACTAGAGGAGAAAATTATTCTGATTTCACAGCTGGAATGATTGTGTGTGTGTGTGTGTCAGAATGGAAATGTCTTCATCTTCACAGGAATGCTGGAGGCTGTAGCAGACATCCATCAGCTGGTATTTATACTGGGACATGAGATGGCTCACGCTCTGATTGGTCATGCAGTAAGTCCCGCCCACACTGTCAAACTGCTGCACAGAAACGCCCGAATGGACATTATTTTTGTCATTTTATCAGAATCTATTTTAACCCAATAATGAATTATGCTAAAAGTAAAGTATCCAAGAGCGTAGTATTAATTTCTCTAAGTAATCTCTCCCTTAGGGTAATTTTGATTTAAATGTAAATGTATATGAGTATTACATGGTCTGCTATCTGCACCCATTGTCAGGGTCCTCACACTGCCTCTGGCCTTTATAGTTTGGATCAAACTAAATTTGTACTTCCTTTGCTGTGTCTCTCAACTTTTTTCTGGAAGTAAAAGACCCTTCATTAGATTCAAGTGCTCGCTTTATCTCTCTTTTGCGTGTGTCATGTTTTACTTTCATCTCTTCTCTTGGTTTAAATGAAGAGAAGGAGGCGTCCTGTCTCAGAGGCACTAAGCGCTGTTAAGGGTTGGGTTTAAAGAGATGTTTTAGTTTCAGAGCTGTTGCATCACCGCGTGCTTGTGGGTCTGGTTAGAGTGAAGAAGCTTAACACTGATATCAGGACTAATATGACGTGGTTGTGAAAAACTAAATTGATTTAGTACATTTTTCTGTGACACTAAAAAGTCCCTTTAAAGCCAAGAAACACGCTGTTAGACTCACGAGTGCTTCCTTTGTTATTTCAAACCGCAACAAGCTAGCAGATGCTGGAACAGATTTCAAACCTGCATGCACACTGTCTCAGTGATTGTTTTATTCTGATAGCTACAAGCAAGATGAAAAACTAATTGACACACATTATTTATTTGATTTGTTTATTCATATGCAGCCTATTAGAATGATTTGTGAAGCATCACGTGACACTAAAGACTGGAGTAATGGATGCTGAAAAATCAGCTTTGTCATCACAGAAAATGTGGTACGTTTTAAAACATTCAAATATAAAATGTAAATTGTAATAATTCTTCACAATATTACTGATCAAGTAAATGCAGCCTTGGTGAGCATAAGGGACATTCAACAACATAAAATCTTATTAATGGTGGTATATATGTGAAACACAAAATGTCCAAGCAGCTCTTTTCCACACTGAAGTAGGTGAAATATGGCTGTGTCACATATATTTTGTTTGCTATATTTTATGAGCTATTTAAGTCTTTTGAATGCAATAGCTTTGTGTAAGGACCAAACCAAAATTTTAGTTGATAGACACTGAAAATCATATGTAAAAGCATAGATATTTGGTAAACATCTCCCATAATATGGAGGACCAAACCTGCAGGAATGAAAAATAAATAAATGTTATTATTTATCATTTATTTATTTTTAATTTCTGCAGGTTTGGTCCTCTATACTATTATACTATGTTAAAATGATTTTTAAAAAATGTGAAAATAAAACAAAACCATCCATTTTAATGCAAATAAGCTATTGTAATAGGTTAAATGATTATATAAAATATAACAGAATGATTCCCGTTACTGTATACACAGTATACACCACAAGACCTCATTACACTTATCACAAGAATCTCAGAATGCTCCTTCAACACCATCATATACAACTGTATGACTATGAAGCTGGCATAATTACCCAACAAATCTGCTTTGCGGCATATACCCGGCCACTCATGGACATGTTTTGGCATATCTGTTGCCCTTCTTTCAATACAGTGTGTATCGTGATTA